CTCTGTGTGCGTTAGTCAGGCGCGAGGACACAGTACAAGTATAGATCGTGTGAGCCGTCACTGGAGCGGCCAGCGGGCGTGGGTGGGACTCGATGGCGACGGTGGATAATTAGCCCGTGTAGAGCAAGCGGGAGGCGTGCTTAAACATAGGATAGTATGATGTGTTTGGCCCTCGAACGAGCAGGGTAGACTTGATATCGGGGTTAAGTTAAGCTTCCTGCAGAAGTGCTGTCAGATGCTCGCATTTCGCTCCAGGCGCTTTGAAGTCACGGGATACATGTACCGGTACAGTACATCGGATTCGTAGAGACCGTTGAATGCAGAACACAGTACACCAATGCTAGGGTCGTACAGGATGATGCGAATATTTGATATAATAGTACAACGATAGTGGTGGCACTCGGTAGAGGGGGGTCTGACCTTGGAAGAAACTTTAATGATCAAGGTACATGCATATGCGATGTCGGTGGCAGCCAAGAACGATGTCAACAGGAAGTACGCATCATGAACGCATATCCGGTAAAAGAAACAAGGTAAACAAGTGTCGTACCGAATGCAACTGCGGATAATGGAAAGCAGTGAGGGTGATGCGTGCATATATACGTGAAGAGGTCTGGGTAATAGTCGCAACTTGAAAGAGAACCCTCTCGTCAGTGCGATCGCTATGTAACTAAATACGCTAAAAGAACTCACGTATGATATTAGAACGTGGAGCCACACGCAACGACTGCACTCGCGCAGCTGGCGATCCTTAGCTCGACCGGTATCCGCCCATGTACACATCATCCGACCACCGAATGCTTGGCTTGGCTCCGGCATATTCAAGTGGAGGGGGGCTCGAGTCGACTTCAGGATCGGCATGAGCGAGGATCATCGATTGAGGCCCCGTCTGGGTGTCGTCTCGAGAACTGGACGTGGCGAATGTGACCCGAGTGTTGCCGGCTGCAAGAGCATCGCGGAAAATGGGAGACTCGCGTTCCCAGCGGGCAATATGGTTGTTCGAAGGACCAGCGGAATCAAAAATGATCCGGACCTCATCCTCCTGTTTGTCGCCCACATCTCCGTCATTTGGCAGGGGATCAAAGTAAATATCGGTGTTTCCTAGAGCTTTCGCGCGCAACTCGTCTCTTTCAGTGTAACCACTACCGGTCATCATTCCATCCACGATCCCGAAACGCGCCTTGAAGTTCCGTAACCACGTACGACCGCGGTCCGCAATGGAAGTACGGTATCTGTCGTCCGCGATAGCCAAGTCGCGTAGCCTCGCGTATGGCTCGTTCTTTGATCATCTTGTCGGTGACTTTGACATCTCCCGCGGAGTTTTGCATCAACCAGCGCTGTAGTGATGCTTCTACGTTGTCGAATCGTGGGATGCTACCATTGGAGCAGGGTCGACAAGTTACAACGGTGGCAGCGCAGGACCATGGTTATATGCTCGTACCTATCTCTGGCGACTCTACACCCGTCCTGGTGCTCAGTCTCCAACCATATGTAGTTGTACTTCAGCGCCTTTGTTACAGTGCTCCTCTTGACGTTGAGTGCATCTGCGATCTGTTGGTGTGTCATTTGCGGATCTGCCAGATGCATCTCGCACGCCCTCTTCTTGTCCGATGCGTAGAAAGGGCTTCTACTATATTTCGGACGTGGGCGCGGGTTCGTCGCCCTGCGGTACTGCTTTTCGAGGCATTGAAGAGTCCTGATATTGCACTGAAAGTGATCAAAATCGGGAGACATGTATTCAGCCAATGTCACATTGTTTCTTGTAGAGGCGTGAACAACCCCTGTAGACGTCATTCAGTTCAAATCGTAAGTGTTTGCGTGATCACCGCCGTACTTTGATTTGGCTTATCATCCCCGCCGTGCGCGTTCTGCGCCTGAAGTGCCTCTTCCCGATGGCTGCATGTCGCGGATATGTGGCTGGTAGACTGGTACGGAACGCCGGAGCAGTCAGATCTGTGTCGTAGTAGGCTATCGGGTCAACTTGAATGCATACTTACTGGGCCGGACGGAGTGTCCTGTGGTGTGTCTTCAACAGGGAGCCATCAGATAGCGCGGATGCAGGCATGGACGAAAAGAAAAAGTAGTATTGCGGTATAGCTTTGGACTAGGATCCTACAGCGCAGCTGGGAGGAAACGTGAGTCCATGCGATTGCGAACGGAGTCAAATGTATACGCGTTCACGAGGAGGAGGAGGAGGAGGAGGGGATTCACGACATCGGAGCGAGCCGGGCCTGAGGCGCTCGCTGCGCCCACGAGCGCCCACGTCGATCGCCACAGGCGCCGGCGAGCAGCTTGATCGTACTGTATGCGTCCGCACGGTAGTGCACACCTCTGCAATTAGTGCGTAATACGGAATGCGAACAGTACATGCACTAGCTACATTAGTTTCAGTATTAGAATGTCACAAGTAAGAGAGGTGTACATCGTGATGATGATGCTCGCTGGGGCTGCTCGCAATGACCTGCAGAGCTTGTCACCTGCGACGTGCGTTGCTCTACTAATCGCCACGACAAACACAGCGGGCTCCCGGGAGCTAGCAGCCTTCAGCTTAATAAAGACTTGCCAGTCATTTGTGCACTCGATATGCCCGTGCCAGACTACGGCGCTCAGTCTGTGGACAACCTACTGGTAGCTAAGAGGCGATCACAGTGGATATACGTACGAAGGTGCGGAAACAATTCTCGGGAGGCCACAATATGACAACGCAGGACCATGCGATGCACTACCGATGCAACTTTCCGTTATCCCGAACAAAAGACTCCGGGATTCGGACGTTCGCGCGAACGTATCGAGCGGGATCGGTGTCGTCGTAGGGAGACATGATTGTGGGGTATTCAGAAACGTGGTGCCAGATATCACCAGCCTAGGCGTATTGGAGGAAGTCAAAGTCATGGTAGTGGACATGATCAAAGGGAAATTGGGTCTTGAGAACGCGAAAACAGGCATCGTCATCTCATCAGGATGTACTAGTAGACGATAGTCGGTGCCAGCTAGTGGACGGTACCTACACAAATGACGGTGTCAGTATATATTCATCTCTTTCGCGGATTCATACGAACGACGTCGAGAGCGGTGTTCCGCGCATGAAGGACTCTTGAAAGGAGCTCTGGGAGTACGGATCCTGATATGATTGGCCAACACCCGAGTTTATCCAGGGGTACCTTGAAGGATCGTTGCCTGACGCCCCGATTTCCTGCTGGACATATTGGTCTGAGGGGAGTGGGATGACGCTAGACTCAGGCATTTCGGATGGGTTCGCATGATCGTTCGTAGGCATGGTCGAGATGGGCGGAATCATCTCTGATTGCGACGTCGAAGCAGGTGCTGTACGCGGCTTGAATATAAGGACATGGCCGTGGACCTCGCGGTCCATGTCGTCATATTTGCTTCTGGTTTTAGGCGGGGGCCCCGGAATATTTCCATGCTGGTCCGGCAGCTGACACCAAAAGCGGAAATCCAGCGGAAAGTAGCCATATATTAAGCCCTCTGTCTGGCCAAATCGGTTGCAGTGTAGCCAAGGCGCGTAGGAACACCATCAATGATGCCGAAACGCTCCTTGAACTTGCGCAGCCATGTGCGTCCGCAACGAAAATAGACTGGATGTCCGCCCCCCTCAAAGTTCCCTCGTCCTCCGCTATCACTAAGGCTTCATCTCGGATCATTTTGTCGGTCACGATCTTGCCTTCCCTCCTGCAGTGATGTCCCACCACTTTTTCATGCGATCTTCGACGAAGTCGAACATGTACTTGACGATCCTGCGCACTGCATTGGCAACAATACAAAATAGTGCAACGAAAGGAGCACATACCGTCTTCGTGCAAATTTGAGGCCTTCGGTATGCCTCGACCTCAGCCATCTTTCTTTTCCCTCGAGAATTCTAGTAATCGTGGACTTGTTGACCCCAAATCGATCGGCGATTTTCTGATGTGTTATGCCAGGATGCGACGAATAGAATTCGCAGACGGCCTTCTTGTCAGATGCGTATAACGCTCTTCGTGTGGAAGCGCGAAGACTGAGAGGTGCATCTTGCCTGATATCCGCTACGTGCTGTTCCTGTACACGAGGAGCTGTGCGATCCTCGTTCAACCTATCTGTCATGGCTGATTCCGCAACTGATGGCAGTATTGTTCGTGTCCGAGTCTTGTCTACGCTGTGGGGTGGCAGGCTAGAGCTCGAACGGTGGAAGCCAATGGCACGCAACGAGTGAACTCACTCATCGGAATGACATCAAGGACGGTTCATTCTTGTATGGACACTATGATCAGTCATTTAATAAAGACAATGATACCAACGGCCCGCGTGAACGCACCGGGCCGACAGAACTTTGAGGATTCGCAGTGGACACCACCGCGCTTATGGCGTTGTAAAGAACAGTTGATGCAGCCGTGACAGCCCCGCCGCAGCACAGAATCGATTGTTGGTGCCAGTGACGAACAGCTAGATTATATGTAATAACTGAGGTGTAAAGCTGACCCCTGTCAGCGCTCGCTGGAGCGGTGCCAGTGAACGACGAACAGCCCGGGCTTCCGCCGCCGCGTGACTCCGAGCAAACTGGGTGTCAATATATGACATACCGTTACACGAGCCACACTCGAGTGATAATACATGGACGAAATGTATGGATACTGATGAAGTCTCGAACAGCATCGCCGACGCAGTAGTACAAATGCATACAGAACGGTACAGTCTAATTTACAAGTCGGTGAATAGCGTAGGAATCAAAGATACACGCAAAAACGGATCGATCGCACTCAAAAGAGGCGAAAAGAATCACAAAGGGCGATCCAACATGGAGTATATCAGTTAATATGGAGGCGATCGAGGGGCATGAGATACTTCCAGCTCGATCATGTCGATCGGCTGCCCAGTCGACGTCGTAAATGAACGTTGAACGTTAACCTCGGGGTGATGGGATATGTCTGTACGGAGACCAACATGGTCGCGTCAGAATGTGCAACATACAGCATCAGCGTAATTGCGTACCGAGTCCAAAATAGCGCCTATAGTGATGTCTCTCTCGTGAACGATTCATGAAAGTGGCACTGTCTGTAGGAGGCTTCCCAGGCCGACTGTCCGTTGGGCGGGTCATTCGTAAAAGACCACGCCTTGCTTTCCGAAACCGAATCGACACCAGATTGTGACGTATCGAAAGACGATGATGAGAGATCGAATGAGACGTGGTGTCGTTGGGATTGGGATATCAATGGTGTCACATCCTCGGAAGGGGTGGCTAGCCCTGACGGAGGTAACGCAGCGTAGTCGGTTGGCGTAGCCGCGGGATCTACACGTGGCTTATATACCACGAAGGGGCCGTCGAATTCGAAGTCCATGTCGTCGAATTCGGTCTTATCACGGCCGAATGGCAGGGGAACATTGCCGTGCTCGTCTGGCAGCTGGCTCCAGAAAGGGTCATCCAACGGATAGGACCCATAAGCTTTCTCCCTGGCGAGATCCGCGGGTGTGTAGCCGACACGGGTGATGACGCCGTCGGTGATACCGTAACGTTTCTTGAACCCTCGCAGCCAGCTGCGTCCGCAGTGAAATTGGTAGTCATGACCACCCCCACGCATCCCCTCGTACTCCGCCACAATGATGGCTTGTTCGCGAATCATGTTGTCCGTTACGATGACGTTGAAGTGCTTGCATGCAAGCAACCAGCGTTCGAGATGATATTCGACTTCGTGATATCTGATCAGTCTTTGACCAGCATCAGCCAATGAAGCATCCCGAGTACGGAAGCAACAACACCGTTTTCGAGAAAATGTCTGCCCTTCCACGTGCTGAGACTTGAGCCAATTGTCCTTCTTTGCTAATGTTCTTGTCACGATGGACCGACTGATGAGAAAGTGGTCCGCAAGTTGTTGGTGGGTCATATCGGGATTGGCCATAGACATCTCGCAGATAGCCCTTTTCTCCGAGGCATGCACGGCCTTCCGAGTCGTTGTAGGATGATCTGGTGGTCTCCTCTGCTTTGCTTGTGCTCGTTTATCTTTCAGCACCTGAAACCACGATCTCAAGGGCTTGTTGGCTTGAAGAGATGGTGGGTTAGGCGCCGCCTCCGGGGTGGAAGGCACAGATAGTAATACGTCCGGGTCAAGCGATTCCTGACCTACGCGCGGCGAAACATGAATACGAGATGGCTTCGCCCAGTATGTTGATAAGTTGATTCGACATCTTGGCAGAGAAGTACGCACAGCATATAAATCATGATCGCTAGGACTGGCCATCTAGAGCGCAGAGTTGCACAAATCGATTCCGTCGTGATATTCTGCTCAGGTGGTCGCGTCGGACACGGCGCCCAGCACTGAATGATTGCATGCAGTGCAGAGAGTCGCCGCACCAGATCAGGTTCAGTAGTCAAATAAGACGTCGAAGAAAGTGTACGCGTGCGTCACGGTAGACTATCAACGCGGTGACTTAGCAGTATCGATGATGAGACACGTACAAGTTCGTGACAACCTAGTATGTTTGCTGAACAGTATGGATGAAGGATCTCGGGTACCGTTCCCTAGAGGAACCGTGACGTTGATGGACGGCGATGATGCAGGAGGGACTAGGTCGCGCAGTGTGCACTGAAGGTCGGATCCCGGTCGGATCCTTGCATTGTGCTCAGACTCGGGCGCTCATTGAATAATGCTTATGATCATAATCCCTACTTATGTAACTTACTTAAGTAGCTTCAGTACTTACTTACTCCAGTACAGTACGTGCACGGTGCTACACGAGGCTACACGCCCACGCCCCTTCATGCTCACGATCACATGATCCGTACGTCGTTCCTCGTCTCAGTACGCGTCGTTATACAAGAGACACTTTGCTTCGCTCCGGTGGCAAATCGATTTATGAGAGTCGGAGAACAGATTTGCTGGGTCTTCGTATTGTAGAAGTATGACTTACAGTCAACTCGCAATACACCATCATCTCCAGATGCTCACTGGCTGTTACGGTCTGCGACGAAGACTACGTAACTGTCTAGGACTCGCAGGACGGTGTATGAGTGTAGTAAGTCCTTGGAGCTCAGTAGCATCCACTCATGGTCAGTTAATCGCGCCTCGTCGACACTACCTTCCGAATTTTCTGCGAGATTATGCACCTATGTAATCTCTTACGGTCACAATGTGGCATAGCCTTGATACCGAGTGAGATTGTCCGTTCACCTAAATAATGGGTGTCTATGGGGTGAATCTGGCTGCAAGGGAATTCCAGGCTGAAATACCGCCTGCAATCTCGACTGCAGAAGGGGTATAATCCACACCAAGCAAATGTGGCGCGAGACACGCCATCGAGACACGCCCGCTCGCTCGTGTACGTACCTGCCCGCCCGCCCGTGTGCCGGCTCGTCCGCCTATCAACCTGTGTGCCTGTCTGCTCACCTGCTCGATCTCTCACCCATGTACTGTCCCTGTCCACCGGCTCGCCCGCCTTCCCGCTCGCGTTGCACGTGTTCGTCGGCCGTGTCTGCGTGCTGAGCATTTGCCCACTGGCAGCGCGCTCGCAGTCAGCGTGTGTGCTGCTGCCCGCGCCCGCGTACTCGCTCGTCCGTTCGTCCGCCTGTCCGTCGGCCGTGCTTGCGCGCAGGACATATTGGCCCTGCGTCCTCGCAGTCGCCATGCGCGTCGTGCTGCACGTTACGGTGTCCTGTGTCTGTGTTAGTGGGTTCGCTCGCGTGCGTCTGTGCTCAACCGTGGGCACCTGCCCGCCCCCGCCAGCCGCTCACCCTTCCCCGTCATCCGCTCGTCGCTGTGCCCGCACCCGCGTTGTAAAGTTCGTGGGCGGCGTTTGCACGCGGGGCGTTTGCCGTGCGTGCTCGCCGTCCGCGTGCGCGCCGTGTTCAACATTAGCGACCCGCCGTGGCGGGTCCGCAAATGAGCATGCAAGGATGGGCAGCGGACGAGAACGGCGAGTGGGCGAGAACAGCGAGTGGGCGACACAGGTGACGAGAGCGGACGAGCAGGTGGCGAGAGCAGGCGAGCGAGAAAGCAAGTGTGAGGACGAGGGTAGCTAGGCAAGAACGGGCGGGCGGGTGCGAGCTAGTGAGAGCGCGAGCGCGCAAGCACAGGCCCGTGGAGGGGCAGGAGTAGACGAGTTCGCAGGCACCAGTTGACTGTGAGTTGACTCGTGATGGCGAAGGAGGGTGCGATGTTCAAGGTTGAGAAGATGGCTGACTCTTTAAAGCTTTATGCTCATGGATGTCGCAAATGATAAGGGTAACAATTAGGTCGCAGCAGGTGTCGAGCCGGCTGACAGTACAGAGACAAAAGACATGTTATGTAAAGGCTGAGCTAACGTTCAACGGTTCATACCGGCAGGACGACGTGAGGAGACGGTCAGCGGGTCGCGGGTCGACGGTTGTGGCGCGAGGCAAATATTAATATTGATGGGCGTCGGGAGCAAGTCTTATGACAGAGCAACTACTGAAACAGGTACAAATGATGGAGTTCACCGAATACCGATAATATAGTAGTAATAGTAATATAGGTATCAGACTTCATTAAAGTAACATCCTCGTCGCGCGATCACGGGCGTACTACATACATACTCATGACTGTGAGGAACTTAAGAAAGAAATGCAACGTGTAGATATATCCCTTATCGTCGGAGGGGCGTAGACGATCGTACAAGAGGACAATCAATGTTCGCCTTGAAAGCCGTGGCAGAGACAGGGTCCAGAGAGACAAGGAACAGGTCTTTTGTTGAGATGCCCTTGAGAGAATCTCCCGGGCGACCCCAGTAAAATTGGCTTGATAGACATCCGGGACAACTCTGTTGTCTATGTGAGCAATAGCATTCAGCGTGAGCTCCCAACTTACCTTGATGATGCTTGCCACTCTCGGTGCCACCATTTTACAGAATTGTGAAAGTGACATTCGCTCGCCATCGACCACCAGTTGAACCGGCATTGTATCACACCAGTGACTATGCACCGGGCACTGAATCGTCGAGCTTCGTCAATACTGTTGTTACGTCTTGACAAGCACTGCATCTACATACCTGAACTCGCAAGGTGATTCTGTCGATTCCGGGGCCAATGAACATGGTATGAGGTCCGTGTTCAAGAGAAGCAGATACGTCGTCGGTACTGGACGAGGTAAGAAAATGTAAAGATACTCCAGCCGGGGGTGGGTGCGACCACGGGTTGCAGTAAATCCTCGTTGGCGGCCGGGGAGATGATAAGATGAGGCTCGACTCATAGAGCGAAAGAGAGTGTGGTGGTTCAAGGGGAGAAATTATGGGAGAACTGTTGGCCTTGACGAGAAGCCCACGAGAAGGGAGGGATGCGGATATGTAGGGCATCTCAGGCGTTCTATGACGCAGAGGAAACAAAAAAAGTGCGGCTAGATGTTGGGAGGAGACATGTCAATCAAGCCAGGGCAATTTATACCGTAGACATAGGGAGGGCCACGGGCCACAGTCCACAAAGCACCAAGTATGTTGAACCCCAAGTCAAAGCATCTCATATCTTGCCAAAGCGGAAGGCGTCGCCAAGCAACCAGACAAAGCGGGCGCCACGAGTCGCCACAGGAAGAGCCAGATCAAGCTGTCCATGCGCTTTGTTATGGGAATCCTAAATCGGCAAGCACAGAGGTGGCCCGTTGGCCGCAGTAGACCCAAGAAGCGGCGTCCCTGAGTCTGCACCAGAAGAACGTTCCTTTTCGGGCTAGAACACTCGACCACGCTCAGATACACTGGGAGCAGCCGCCACGCAACTTCGGGTCGAAGAGAGGAGATGAACGCGTCGACCAAAGCCATCCAGAGACAGAGGTCGCATGAGCGCCTACGCTTTGACGAGTAGTAAGCGCCTGTCGCTAGCCTCGTGCGCACAGATCGAGTTCAAGCGTGAGGCATCCACCGGACCTTGCGGAGAAGCCTTCCGAGAGAAGCACGGCTAGCGTTGCTTAGATTTTGGAGCCGTAGAATAAGGTTGATTGACCGGTGTGCCGCAGTCGAGGCCTGAGGCGTACCGCCGGCAGATTGGTCGGACACGGCGATCGATTGTGCCTCGGATACCAGTGAATTCCAATTGTCGAGGAAGCTAATTGTCGAGATGGCGAGATTCCAGCGGAATGGAGGGCTTGAATAAGCGTGAACAGGGTGGCCACCGTGGCGCAGGTCACTAAGCGCCCATGTGAAAGCGTCCTCCTCGGTCGAACACGTTCCGCGAAGCACCCCAGGCACAGGCTGGTAAAGCCGTCCACAGCAAAGCAATTATTGAGAAGGTCCACAAGACGTCATGCTGTGTCAATATGGGTGTGTGACGCACCTGTCATCCATACCGCCTCAATAACCACCCGGGAGAACAATACCTGAAACTCGTTCAACGACGAAACGGGTTGGCAGCTCGGTGGCCTATTGCACATGACGCTCCCAATTAGTGTTGACGACGAGGCAATGGCAACGCACCACAAAAATTCCTTCATTCCATTCCATATCCGGCGCACAAAACACTTCTCGATTTTTAGTGACCGCTGCATGGAGGCCTCGTGCCATATAGGGGCTATCGACCAGGCTTCCTCGGGAACCAAGGTCTTGCCATTGAGCGCGATAGACTATCCTGAAAAGGCAGTTCACGTACTCACCGCATTATGGCCTCGTCGTACGCCTTGACGCTTCG